AAAGAAAAAACGCAAAACCGATTAAATGAAGTGTCAGAAATGTCCAAAAAATACTAGGAAGGAACCATACTTCACGTATTTCGAGCTGCCACCATTTTGTTGGTCTAAAGCTATCCAAATTTTAACCTAGTACAAAAAAAAAACTCCGTTGAAATGGTTTAATCTGCGAATCGCATATCTGCATATCTAATTATCAAAATTTAATTAGATTTAATATAATTTTCATATCCTGAAAACTGATTAATTAACTAATGTAGATGGATCAGGTTCGTTTGGTTCACTCTTATGATCCTATGACAAATTTGTTATGCTTCAAGCACTGTGCAACACTGTGTTTGAAACACAAAAAATGTTCGGCTGGCTAGAACACGCGTTTGAAGTATCAGCGCTGCACAAAATGGCAAGTTGTAAAGCTTATGTTATGTCCTTTACAGAATTATCATCCTGGTAACCTTGGTTAATAACAAATTCGAGTCGCATCAGTCCTTTACTTTCTTCAAATCTGCATCCATATCAACGTTTAACAGAGTAAACTTTCTTGAAACTGGGAGTAAATCGTTGGCAGAAATGAGAAAAAGGAGAGTTGCCAGTTCAGAGCTCTCTGGTATCCCAACATTGATTCTCGTCCATCACCGTCTTAAAATCGCAATGTAATCGATCATCTACAACCATACCACTCTGGCTTCCACAGCAGAATAACGTGATTCACATAGGTAATCAAACGCTTTGAACATAAGTCACAAAACACCGCCGCTGCTAGGTAACGGGTCAATATTGCGACGTACATTTTCGTAATGAAAGCAATCTTTAGGTTTGTTTGTTTGTGTCGCACCAACTTGAACTAAGCGCAAAATATTTCAGGTTTGTGACGTCACCGATTCAACTTACGCTTGTCAGTTCATTGCCATTAACACAAACGAACGCTCCAGAGCAGGAAGTGCTGCGTCGAACAACTTTTGATTGTTTTTTTTTTGAAGGTCTGTTACCTCGACTCTGGTTATAGACAACCTCATGAAAACTAACAATAGCATCATTGATGCCATTCCCTTCTTGAATTCTGAACTGCTGGTGCGCTCGGAAGACCATGACTTCCCAGAAATATTGTGTCTAACAGGCTGGTTTAATGCTAGACTAGCATCATGAGATTTAGCTGCAGTGTTTCCTCGTTTTTCCTTCTGATTAGGTCTGTTGCTAGGAGAGTTTATTTTGCACTTGCGTAGTCGCGTTTGCGATATGTTTTACCGTCTTGGGGACACCAATTTGTTGTTCATCTTAGATACCTCAGAAATCTGCACCATAGACCGAGAAGATGTATATTTTTAAAAATATTTCAAGCAAACACATTACTTAGGAATGAAAGTCGGGAGAGGGAGGAAGCAGACAGTAAGAACAGAGGAAAATAGTGAAACGCTAGAAAAAATTATTGAAAATATACGATCTCAAGACTGTGGAAACTGTGAATGTGGAAACAAGAATTTGCCATTGTACACTACACATTAAATGCTTACAATTTAGGCCCGGTTTATTCATTTTCAGATAAACTTGCTGGTAACTATCTGCAAGATAAATTTACAGTTCTATAATTCTATTAGTCGGCGGATAACTAACCGACCAATGGGATTACAGATTGCGTTTTTATCTGTCAGATTGCATACCTGACAGTTTATCACAAGGTAAATAAACCGGCCCTTAGATGGCAGCCCCGTGTGACCAGGGCTGGGATCACGACAAGTAGAATTCTACTTCCATGACGTCACCTGCGACCTATTCTAGTAGAATTCTACTTGTCGTGATCCCAGCCCAGTTTTGTAACTTCAAATGAAAGATCGCGTGAGTGTCAACAATGTCATCTCTCAACTCGCGGAGGATTAACCGAACTCGCCCACTATATAGGTCTGTTCCAAGCTGTCAGAAGCCGTCTCATGAACGGTTTCGGAATGAGTCCACATAAGGTCTGTTCTCGCAGAAATCACAAACCAGAGCGAATTTCATTGGTTGAAAACAGTCAGAAACAGTCAAAAAATTAGTTTCAACCAATTAAATTCACTCTAACTGATTTGTGATTTCTGTGCGAACAGACCTATACATTTTATGCGCTGAATCATGACATTGAATTGTACGTTTTCCTGCTGTGTTGGAACAAAGCTCAGGCAGGAATAGCGTTTCAGTCCCTGCCGTTCCATGACCTAACCAGATTTCAGGAGTGGTTAGGTTACGGAACTGGAATATGAAAAACCAAGCATTCTCATCAATTTACGGTACGTCGTTTTAGGTTTCGTGGGTATCGTCGTCGTGAGTCATTTGGCTACTGTGATGTGACTTCAACTCATCAATTTACGGAACGTCGTCTCAGGTTTCGTGGATGTCGCCATCGAGAGTCATTTGGCTGCTGTGATATGACTTCAACTAAGATACATCATCTTGCCAATTTTGTCAAAAGTTAAATGTCAGCTCCAAATTTTACAGACAACGACGGACGGTCTACATAAAAGGAAAAGGCGATTTCTTTAATGAAGAAAAATCACCAAAAAAGCAGGAGGAAACGATAGAAAGTCCAGGAGAGAGATAACTACATTGAAAGATGATAATTAATATCATCATAGGTCCAGAGTATAAGCTTGCTGTCGTGAGGTCACTGACTAAAAAAGGCGTGGGAGACTTTTTGAAGTAAAACCTTCTTTAGGCGATTTCAGCACAAAAATGTTCCTGGGTAGTGAATAAGATTGAGCCATCACGCCCGAATTGTTCAGCCGAGCGAGAGAGAAAAACAGTCAGCAGTACGAGAAACAGAGTATTTCTTATTATTAATTTCGCCTTGTTGGAGTTGTGACTTCTAGCGTGTGGTCCAAGCACACAAGCAATTCTTGAAGTGAAACTTCTTAGGCGGCGGTCTGATATTTGGACGAGAATGGAGAGTGATTTGAAGACGCGTCACGTCTAAGCCCATCTCGTTACACGAGAGGGAAAAAATATACTGAAGAGAGAAGCAGAGCCTTCGTTATATCTAAGAGAAGAAAGATATAACGTTGAGAGACGGAGAAAGCCATATATTTGGGGTGTGGCGATACTTGACAATGACAGCCGACGAACGATTGTTGTCTATCATTGTCAAGCGCTGTTACCCTTGTGACGTTGCTAAAGATGCGCGTATCCCTTTTGTGTGGTCCTTCGTCTTTACCTTGACGACGCTAAGTCTAAAAGTTGTATGCGAGTATGGGCTATTTTTTAAGTTTCACTTCCTAGACGTGTACGATGCTGCACATTATTTTTTTTTTTGTAAGGAAAATTTACTTTTATTGTCAATTTTTTGTATTTACATTTTTACTGCCCTCGGTGGTAAGGGAAGTGTTCTATTTAAGTAAAAAATGAACCTTGAGATGTTTTCACATTTATACGTTTTCGGGTCCCTAGTCTGTCTGTCTGTCTGTCTGTCTGTCGATCTGTTAGCGCTCTAGCTCAATAACGGCTTAACCTAGAACAACAATTTTTAGTATACACGTTGGACCTACCGACAATGTAAGGGTTTTAGTTCGCAGATATACAAGGTGTCCCAAAAACTGTTCGAGAGATTGCACTGCATCGGTGAGAGTTGGACTAGCGATCACTTTTATTTCTCTCCTTTGTACTGCACTTAATAGAGCCAACGAATGCTTGGGAGCAGATGTGGGAACAGTATTCCATACACGATCTGTTTTGAGCCTTATAAAGGAAAAGAAGTTGTTCAGAAGTAAAGAAGTTTTCTGCACGAAACAAAAAACCTATTTTTGAGAAGCGATTTTGGCGATTAAAGATATGTGGTCATCCCGACATCCTTGAAGCTGGGTTATCGGCGGCAGAACATTTCACATTCGAGAATACTGCTGCTTCAGTTTTCGAAGCATTGAATTTCCCTAGGTTGTTAAGGCTCAAGTTGTTAATGGTGCCAAGATCACTGTTGGATAGAGTGAATTTGTTTTTGGTCGAAGTGCGTGGATGTGCCTGCACTACAATAAGCGTTTTGTCAAAAGAGAAAGATGCTATCAAGGTGTCTTGTCACATTTAAAAAACCAATTATAAAAACGAGAAACATTGTTGGGGACAGAATTAAGCCCTGTGAAACGCCGGCATTTATAGGCAGTGTATCAGAAGACAAACCATCGACCACCACATGCAGTGACCTGCCTTCCAAAACGCTCCCCAGCCAATGGCAAAATTCACAGGATCATATCATGGAAGTTTGCTGAGGGGACCTTTGTGTCACACCTTATCAAAAGCCTTGAAGATGTCCTATGCTACAATTCTGGATGCGTCATATTTTTCGAGATACGAGCTCCAAATATGACTGACGTACAGTGGGAATCATTGCAATTAGCACATACAATACTCTTTTAACATTCCTCGTATTAAGTCAAAATTCTAACTAATAAATCTATTTAGTGCAGTGGTGTACAAATATTTTTTCCTTAAGTAATTTATTGAGACTATTATGTTCGCCAATGATTTATCAATCCGACATGATCCTGACATTATCTGTGTGTCAGAGAAGTGAAATTTCAACACATTACTGGGGATGTTGATCAATTAATAACGATTTTTTTTTAATTGCTGTGTTCTCCATCTTGAAACGGCGGTTTTTCGAAAATAATAATAAAATGCCATCATACTATTTTTGGTAGAACCATATTTCAATAAAATAATGCATTTCTAAACTGAGCAGGAAATCGAAGCGAGCGGTCGTGCTTGAACCCTATGATATAAGACTGATCAAAGAACCTATAGACAACAATGTTGCATAGAGGCATAATTTCTATGATAATGGTGATGTCCATGCTTACGGTCGATAGAATTTATTTGAGAATTAGTCACAAAGCTTCCATATTAGCGTTTGAACAATTACAATTATTTACTCAAATGAATAAAATATATATTTTTTAATTCAAATTCACTGCCAAATATACTTCTTTATTCGTATTATGTCTCATTATTTTCGTAAGTTTTTAATTTATAACCCTTTGTTTCAGCTATATAGTGTATATGGACGAAAATGGAGATGCCGAGGGAAACTACACTTTAATTGCAAGGAAACCCTTAAGGCATAAAAAAGAACAATTCGGCCTCTTTCCAGTTGGGATATTCGCATTACCTCGGACAGTTTCGCGATTACCGGTGAGTCTTTTTTTCTACAATATTAATTAGAAAACTTGAATGGCGAAATAAAGTGTGTAACCACCCAGTTTCTCGAAAATGGATTTATTACAGCAAAACTTTTGATGTCAACAATTCATTTATTTCAATTTCACTGACGAGAAAAACAAATAATATACCACGCGGGATTACGCGATCCTGAAACATAGTACGAAGTTTTGAACTAATAAAAACAAACTTCAATTTATTTTATTTACACAAGTAGTTTTATTGAAGCTTTAAAGCTACTTGTTTACTTGAAACTGCATTGAACTTTTGTTTTGGGAACTTCGATTCAGTGTGTGTGACATTTTAAAAGTGTGTCAAATAAATGATTACACCTGTTAACAATGTATTCCAGCTTCTAATTCCAAGTCCATTTGGGTTCTATGAAATTCAACAGTCCTCTCGATACAATGATTGAAATCCGATTTCAATCCATACGATTTAATTAAGCAATTTCGATGGTTTTCAATGGCAGCGGAAATTACGGCTTTTGCTGGGATCACATCGTTGTCGATGATTTTCTTGTAGCATGCTATAAGGCCTAGACCACGTTTATCGCTGCACCTATTTAGTTTCTCCAGGAAATCTTCTCCGGATTTTATTGCTGATTCAATGGTCGACGTTAGGACTAAAGAGTTTGCAGCTAGACCATCATGAACTGAAATTTGAAAAAAAAAACTTATTTGCTGACAAAATTACGCTTTTAAGGCGTCCTAATAAAAATTTTAACTGGACGTTTTTTACAGGGCGTAAATAAATCCTTAAAAATTCCCGCTATATGAACTTCTAAATTGCTCTGGAAACGGCTCTGGCACATAAATCGCAATAACGTCTCTCGTATCTATTGTGCTTTTATACCGCATTATCTACCGGATTGGTCTGATTGAAAAAATATAATCATTCTGATCGAAAGGGCATTGACATTGACAGTGCTTATGCCCTATTGGTGGTCAAAAAATTCATTGGTCATAATGCAAAGACCTAAAGGTACCAATCTAAAATGTAATTGAAATATTTACTTGTTTTCTCACAATCCTCAATCCCTCTGTAGGTTTTTTTCGTGATTGTTTTAAGTTTTTCCTGGGCATCAAAGTTGCAAACTGAATTACTTCTTGAGGACGATTCTGAAAAAAAAAAATATCACAGATTTAAAAAAAAAATCAAATCATTGCAAAAAAATCATACTTAACAAAGTTAATTCTTCCAGAGTACTTATCAAATATTGAGACTTCTTCATTATGAATTCAATATCATCTTCCATGGATTCGTCCATAGCATTCTGTTCGATTTTTGCCGACTGTTTAATTTGTTCTGCGATATCGTACACGTTGTGAATAAGATTCACTTGTTCCGATTGCGTGGGAAAAATTGACTTTATTTCCGCTTTAGTATAATGGGGGCCCTGAAGGTTCGTAATATTATAAGATGTTTGTTAAAAAAATTGTCTATTACCTTAGATATACTAATTACACAAAATAACAGAATTTTCATATGGTTGGTCAACATAATTATTAATTCAATAGTCACGCTGACCTAATCACTCACATAGCACAAATGACCAGTTTTGATTAATTGCAAATTATGTCGGTCTAACTGTTGTTAATGTGTTTAGTAAATCAATATTGTTTATTAACAATACCTATCTACAGGGGGTTCTTGATAAAACTCATTGAAAAACTCTACGAAGATAATGTATATACTTATCATCTGCTCTATAAAATATAGTATTTGATTTATCTAGTTAGTGTCACTTATATTAAATATATTTTTCTTTACCTTCAGAGTGGACGATACAAATAAATATAATATACATACATAAAAATTATACTTTATTTTGAATTAAGAGTGGCTAATTCTCGGGTTTAATTGAGTAAATTAGTGAAACGGCGAATATGCTCTTCTATCCAATTCCCTACTTGGATACTTAATAACTTACTCAGGCCGGGGTTACTCAATTCCCTAATTCTCAATTTTTGTTCTTAATTCCTAATCTTTAAAAACACCAATATCAAATAAATTGAACTTTTCAAGAATTAGGACAAATATTAATAATTAAGGAGTTGCAGTTGCTCAGTTCTGCATTCGTTTTACTGCTGTATTGCTGCGTCTGTGGATCTTTTGTCAGGCCGTACATTTTCCTAAGTATTCGCCTTTCGAATTTACGGATGACCTCCTCATTTCGCACCGTTAGCGTCCACGATTCGCAGCCGTACAGGATGAGATGACAGGTCTGATGACACTTTTGTACACTTTGATTTTGGATCTTCCAAACTTGTACTCATTCATTGTTACATTTTGTCCCACTCTCCCTCTGCCTGTCCTAGAAATATGAATGTATTCGGTCTTGCCTTCGTTGATGCTTAGACCCATTTAAGATTCCTCCTGCTCCAGTTTAACAAACGTTTATTTGATATTTATTATGCTAGTTTCCACTACGTCAATATCGTCCGCATAAGCAAGTATCAGTTGTTAATCATTCGTTTGGAAAAGCTCTGTTTCGAGTCGGAGTCCCTACAACCTTCTCCAAGGCAATATTGAAAATAGTCGGGGACAGCGCGTCAACCTGCTTCAATCCGTATATACCCTGAATACTTCCGACATATCTCTCCCAACTTCGACTCTGTATCTGCCAACTCTTGTTAGTCTTATAATCTTATAACGTATCCCGAATTCTGCCGTTGTCTCCCAGATCCTAACTCTTGTCATACTATCATAGGTTTGTTGGAAACCTATCAACAATTGGTGTATCTGCCTACTGAATTCCCAGCTTCCTTCTAGTAGCTGTCACTAGAGAATTTATAGGCTTTCTGGGCCAAAACCTGACAAAGAGACACTCCCCCTACCTCTCAAGATACTACACATACCATCACCACCCCTACCGCGCCCTGTATTCCCCTATCGCGCCCTCTATCCCCCTACCTCTCAAGATACTACACACAACGATCCCCCTACCCTAGCCCAGTATACCCTTATCGCGCTCCCAAAAAAATACATCAAGTATCCCTCCTCCTGTAATTATCTCCCTAGTTTCGATCTCAAGCAATCCCCCTTCCAAGTCAGGTTAAAACCAGCTAAACTAGCAAAATCATGAACAAAAGTAGTGGAAACCAGCTAAACCAGCACAAAACCAGCAAAATACAGCACAAAACCAGCAAAATCAGCACGAAACCAGTAAAACCTAGCACAAAACCAGCTAAACCAGTATAAAACCAGCACAAACCCAGTGAAAACTAGCAAAATCCAGAACAAAACTATTAAAATTCAGCACAATACCAGCAAAATTCATCATAAAACATAGGGGGATGGTTGTGTGTAGTATCTTGTGAGGTAGGGGGATAGAGGGCGGGTAAGGAGGATACAGGGCGCGTTAGGGGTGGTGAAGGTATGTGTAGTATCTTGAGAGGTAGGGAGAGTGTCTCTTTGGTCTTTTTTTTGGCCCAGAAAGCCTATAAACTCCCTACTGCTGTCTAATTTTGAAGAGCTGGTCGGTTGTTGATCGGTTTGTCCAAAAGCCGCTCTGATAGTCTCCTTTTATCTCCTCTGTGAATGGGGTTATTCTCGACAGGATTATATTTGATAGAACTTTATATGCTACGTTTATGAAGGATATTCCTCTATAATTTTTGCATATCATTTTGTCTCCTGTCTAAGGGATTATTATGTCATTCTGGATCTTCTCGTTTTTTCAGATAGTTCTTATGAGTCCCTGTAGTTGGTATGTAGCTGTGTTTCCGGCATGTTCCAAAAGTTCGGCGGTCATCGTGTCTTTACCCGGAGATTTATTGTTTTTCAACTTTTTTATAGCGTTCTCAATTTCCAGAAGGGTATACTTCCACAATTTGAAAGCTGGCCGTTTCTTCTTTGTTTGTATAACCCTGGTTAAGTAGTTGTACAAAGTATTCTTTCCATATTTGCAGTATTTGATCTTGCCTGGTTACTAGATATCCGTTAGCGTCCTTGATGATGTTGTTGGTTCTAGGTCTAAAGCCATTCTTTCTTGTTCTTATTGTCTTATAGAATTTCCTGGTATTGTTCCTTCCATCGACTTCCAGCTCTTGCAACTCCATCTTGTTCTCTTTTTTTTTCTTCTTATTAGTTTATTAGCCTCTCTTCTTAGTTGTCTGAATTTAATGTTATTATCCTCAGTAGGATCCTACATCATTACTAATCTTGCATTATTTCTCGTCTTAAGTACCCTCTTACATTCCGGATCGTACCAGTGGTTTCTAAAAACTTACATATTAAACACTCAAAAGTAAAAATATAATTTAACACCACTTATTTGCATTCATTTCCATTTTTTTTTTGGCCGGTTCTTCAATTCTTCCAGTACTTATAAAGATCATAGCTATCTAGCATGGATAAGGGTATTTATTGATCAATAATCTAGACTAATTACAAAAATACCTTCTTTAAATCCGACTATAAATAAATTTATAAAGATCATAATGTATATTGGTCTGGTTTCCGGAGTATAAACTTGGTGGTGTAGGAGCTAAGGGTGTTTTTATTGTCACCAGACGTTCGGCTCTCAGTATTTTATTGCCAGGGATGATAGATAGGCTAAAATAATTATAATTCCGTAATGGAACCAGCAGATTTCCGCGAAGCTCAAAGTAATGTTCATCCAACGATATAAGAAGTCGTAAAATTCAAGAAATTATCTAACGCATTGGCTTCTATTGTGAGGCGACGTGCTACTACCGAAAGGAATGATAATAATTTCTGGCACCAATTTTCAGGCACGTGTTTTGTATTTTATGTTATTCCTGGCAATGAATTATACAGGGTGATCAGTTTAAGGATAGCCGTAATTCAGAATCTGGGTACTTATGGTCAAAAAATATTTTCAAGTTCCTGAGTTCTACACTAAAGAGCGCATCAGATGTTACAAAAACTTCTTTTCTCGAAATATAATAGTAATGGCGTAGGTTCAGAACACCCATATTGGAATTTACAACTTTCCTTTGGAAATTTTTCCTGTAGTTGCCATTGCCACGACGCGGTAAAATAAAAAAAACATCTTGCAAAATGTTCATAGTTTTGTAACTTAGGTTATGGCTCGATCAATTTCAATGCCTTGCACCAAAGGTCACTTAGTTTAGATTCTGAATCATTTGATTATAGTAATTTAGTTCAGCGAAAGAATTTAATATAATATTCGAAAAACTTCACTTCGCTCCAATTTCCCAAACAAATTGAATTCAACTCGTTGCCTTCTTTGTCAATAAATATTTCACCTGAGGATTGCGGCATAAGTAGATTCTGAAGTATTGCCGGTAGCTATCTTCAAGTGAAAGATTTTCAATTTTCCGATGAAGGTTTTAGAAAACTCTTAGTAGATATAAAACCCTTTTTTTACAGGTTTTATAATAGTTTGCGTTAACGACACCGTTGTCGTGAAAAACTCAAAATATTTCGCCTTTTCCATTTCCTTTTCCTCCACGAATGGAACTGTGGAATGTGCATACGAGATGTCGGTTCTTTTAAATGCCATGGAGGTTTTCGAATATAGATTATTGTTTGGATACCAACGGCATTTGAAGAATTTTTATTAAAAAATCTCAAAAACTAATAGGTACTTCAAAATTTGTGAAAAGCATAAAGCTTCCCTTATTTATCCAACCTCGTAAGTTTTACCGTTTTCGATATCGATAAAGTATTACATGGCGATTCACGGCTTTTGGCACGCAAACCGTATCTGATGCACAAATAAAAATTAAGGCCGGAGTTACCCAACTCCTTAATTCTTAATATTTGTCCCTAATTCTTAATTGTTAATGTAAAATATTACCTGCTCAAGGAGTCAAAGTTCAATTTATTTAACATTGGTGTTTTTAAGGATTAAGAATTAAGAACAAAAATTAAGAATTAAGGAATTGGGTAATCCCAGCCCTAAAATGAGAAATTTAGCTGAATTCAGATATCGACCTGTTTTGCCATTTTGGCACTTTTACGAATCGAATTTGGAATATAAAAAATACGACTCACACATTATCACGAAATCTCAATTATCAGTGAATTTGTAGATATTCTACCGATATTTACCTACCATTTAGGGATTAAATTTGAATGGAACTCTGTAATATCCCAGCTTGGGATCGAGTGAAAACTTAATTCAATACAAAAAAGGAAACTTTGAAATAAAATTAATTTGGATTTGATACATATTTTTGTTCTGAATACGAAACGAACCAGCAGATTATGATCAGGGATGAAAAATTGTATTTAAACCGAAATGGACAGTTTATTGTTCCCAGATTTTATATATATATATATATACCTATATTGAAATATTTTTCATGTAATCTCGTAATCACATTATTCATCCTTGTCGTTTGCCTACCATATACAATATCGACTGATCATCTTTTCCGATGCTTTACTTGTCTTGTTTACCTATTGAAAGTATTAAGTAATATAAATATTTAACATTCCAATCTCAATAAATGTTTTATGGAATCGTGAGAATATTTTAGCATTTCTTAGTTGAAGATGAGAACCAACGATGGAGCGTTGGTAAAGAGGATTTTCACAGAAAATAACTTGATTCATGGAAAAAATGAAAATATTATTTTTGTTTTCTTTAGTATCAGTATTTTCCAAATTCGATTCAAATAGGTAGGTACTTATTTAGTAAGCTTCTTTCAATTTTTGAATATAAAGCTTCGATATAAAGTACAGGTATACAAGCTTAATTATGTTCAACAAGCTGTAATAATAACTGGATTTTCTACCATCATATTACAAAGTTCCTTTGGACTTTTGTCCTATTTTTTTATTTTATTTTTTTATTTGTACTTTTATTTTATTTTATTCGAAAAGACCGAAAAACTCTTTAATTTGTTTTGCAGTAGAAGGTAACGGATACTTTTTAATAGCTATTAGTTTTTGTGGGTTTGGCTTCACACTGTCTGGTGTCATTACGTTACCTAGATATGCAACTTATCTCCTCAGAAATTCACTCTTGTCTAACTGAAGTTGTTGGAAAACTAACATTAGGCGATATAAGTGTTCTTGTAATCCCATGACCCTCTGAAAGGTCGAGGGAGCGTTTTTCAAACCGAATGGCATGCGAGTAAACTGTTAGTGGCCATTCTCTGTGATAAAAACGGTATTGGGTATATAGGCTTCGTCCATTTCAATTTTGTGGATAGCGGCTTCCAATGTGCTAAAATAATGGTCCAGCTCGAATTAACTAAATTCCATTTTTATTTCTAATTTTTGTCGCTGCAATATTCAACTTTTGTTTAATAAGATATACTTAGACTATAGATTCATAAACAAAAATGTTTAAGGTGCTTCACTTAACGGAAAAAATCGACTGGATCCACGGTGATCCACCTATTGCAGCTCCACCCTGTGGATTTAGAGACGAAAAATGTATCAGTGAGTAATTCAAACTTGATTCCAAATTAAACAAATGACTATTTTTGTTTCTTTCAATTATTTTCAGCCCACACTATCGAAATAACAGGCGGAGTTGCCGGAAGCCTGATCCTTATAATGCTCATTATCTCCTTAATCCTCTATAGGAATTGGAGATACGAACAAGAGTTGGACAGTCTTTTATGGAAAATCGACTTTAAGGATATTGAAATTAACGAGGAACCCAACTCGAATCACGTAGCTGGAAAAGCATCGAAAGTGAGTCGAATTGGTTTAATTTATATTTAAAAACCATTTCCTAAAAGAATCCTGATTTTTTACAGCCATTTGAGGAGTTTATTAAGACGTTTACGATGAACCGTATTCAGGAAAATAAATTTAAGACAAATGCTGTGTAACAATCTTGGGTTTTATAGGCTAAATCCACTTTTATTGAATCTCTAAGGCTAAATCTTTTTCTGGAAGGCTGGGAAGATTGGCTTTTTATATTCACCTATATTTTTTCTTTGGCAATTTTTTTAAATAATTTTTATATTAGGTTTTTTTGCTGTTCTAGCCAAACCAGCTCTTTATTCGTACTAGTCAAGTATCGCTTAGCTCAAACCCCGACGCCGATTTCCGCTATTCTACAATTTTTACGCAAATAGGCATCTACAAGGGACGCGTTTTGGCAATTAAAAAGGTACACAAAAAATCCGTTGACATCACTAGGGATATGAAGAAAGATCTAAAATTGGTAAGCGAACGAAATAGTTTATTCATATAAATCCCTTGTCTTTCAGTTTTTCATTTCTCTCGGCTTTGTTATACGATACCATAAAATTCTGCCAATATTTTTAGGTGAGAGATTTAAGGCATGACAACCTTAATGCTTTTATTGGAGCTTGCACCGATCCACCAAACATTTGTATAGTAACAGAATACTGTACCCGCGGAAGCTTAAAGGTATGTATACTATTCGAAAAAAATATATAGAAATTGTAGGTCAAATAATTGTCAAAAGATTCAGTCGAGATATAATTAATTTTTCTTCAAAAAAAATTAAACAAATGAATATAATAATATATACGATGTCGATAGTCAATTATTTCCAGATCTAAACTTATATGTATTGAAATTTATTCATAGAAAAGTACAAAACAAGATTTTTGCATGCATTACATACGCAAATATATCGCCCGTTTTTAAAAGCCTTCTTTCAATTTACTTTTTTCCAGGACATCTTGGAGAACGAAGATGTTAAATTGGACAATATGTTCATAGCATCCCTCGTTGGCGACATTTTAAGGGTAAGTGCATCTCGACTTTATTCTATAAGGCTCTAGGTTGAAAGGCACAAAAAGTGCTTTAAGCGAAAATGATGTGACTTGGAATTTAGATGGATAGTTAGAGCGTGTTCGGACGAATTTTTTTTAATGCAAATTTCTGAAATAGGTACTTTTATGTTTTCAGGGCGTGATTTTTTTACACGATTCACCTATAAGATTTCATGGATCGCTTTACACAGGAAATTGTCTGGTGGACTCACGCTGGGTGGTGAAATTAAGTGATTTTGGTTTGCACGAATTTAAAAAAGGCTCTGAGGATTTTTCTTTGAACGAACCTGCAAGAATCAAAAACAATTTTTACAGTAAGTAACTACATACATTTATGTTAAAATAAAGTTTTATTTACTGTCGCATAAGCTGCCAAATAAAATAGCTATTCAAAAATAATCTCGATTTGTCGCCTAGCGCACCATCTGGCAAGGACATAATCTGTCTTATTCCGGATGTTTTCCTCTCTAGAGATCCCTCTTAGCCGATACGTCGTATTCCATGTATAAACTCGTGTTTCGACAAATTAATCCCGATTTCGCAAATACTCCTCTACTGTGTCAAGCCAGGAGAGATGTCTTCGCTTGAGGAATTCGCTCTTAACAAGCCCTAATGAAATAAAGTCTGAGTTGAGGAAAATAAATCCCCCAGTGTGTTGATGGCAACTTCAAGGGGAGACGTTTTTCATGGCTAAAGTTTATTTACTTTTGGTTTGTCTCAGATTTTACTTGACTACAAATAAAAAAAGCAATTTAAAATTCATCATTTGTATTATTGAAATAACATAAACACTTTTGTTGTTTTAGAGCTCCTTTACAGAGCCCCTGAGCTACTACGCCTCCAGGACTCGTTTCTAGCAAAGGACCAACCGATTGGCACTCAAAAGGGCGACGTTTATTCCTTCGGGATAATTTTGTTTGAGCTGCACAGCCGGCACGGTCCTTTCGGCGACATTCCATTCTCGTCGGCGGAGATTTTGAATAAACTCATCCACTGTATTAATCCAGTGTCCCCTTTCAGGTGAGCTTCGTGAGGACTGGATGATGTCCTCGGATTTTGAATTTTAATTGAAAAAGTTGAAAGGGTGACAGGATTAATCTGGAATTATAATCGATTTTGGCAAGGAATTGATATAAGAACCAAAATTACAAAATTAATTAAATTAATTTTTGTTAGGTGTAATATTATAGGGTTTCTCCTGCATGGGTAAACCTTTTGCAATTTAGAATCAAGTGGTTGGGAAAAAAGGAGGGATAGCACAGTCGTTAAGTTAAACTTTGAAATATTACATTAATCAGTACTATGGTCAAATCTTTTCCAATATACGGAGAGTCTGAACCAAAGTGACTATTGCCTGACATTAACTAGTTTCCGGCCGAGTCAATCCCATTTAAAAGGGAATTCAATTATTGAATAAATATCAATTATTCTGGAAGTGGGCAATTTATTTCCCACGTAAATATATGTTCTTCCAACCCAACTACTTGTTGCTTCCTTAAAATATACTCTTCTCTGGCAAATAATAAATTTATTATTCTAACTACGCTCCGTATCGATTTAATAATGCCCCGATGCTGTTTTTTTTGTCTCTTTTAGGCCCCCACTAGATAAATTAGAAAATAGTTTCGATTTCGTACGGGATTGCTTGAAAGAATGTTGGTTGGAAATTCCGGAAGATCGGCCAGATTTTAAGAGTATACGAACTAGACTAAGGCCGCTCAGGAAAGGAATGTTAGTAATAATTTATAGATTTTCTTTAGGTTTGTAATTTGCTTTTTGTTAGGAAACCAAATATATTTGATAATATGATGGCGATGATGGAGAAGTACGCCAATAACTTGGAAGTTTTGGTAGATGAAAGGACTGATCAGCTACAGGAGGAGAAGAAAAAGACAGGTACGTTCCAGATATTGTATTACATAGGAACATTTGAAGCTAATTTTTTTCCTCTTTGGAAAGATGCCTTGGCCCAATAAACTTAAAATTTTACTTCGCATGCTTATTGTTATGATCCCAATATGTAACCAATGTGATGATCACAATACCGATTACAATACCGACCGTAATAAAACAATACCGTATAACTTCTGTTTAAAATACTTTTATTATAGAATGCTACGCAGTTGTTTGAGGAGAGAGTCTTACAAAAATCTCTGTGTAACCAAAGCTGTCTTCTGTCTGGAAGTTGTGTCTTGACTCAAAGTTGTCTCTTGACTGATCTCTCTTCCCAAAATCCTCTTTGGACATCCCTTCTAAAAATCTATTGCTATAAAATCTATTACCTACTTAATCTAAGAAAAACCCTCAATAAATGTCGGCGACATATCTCAAAGAATGGTCCTTCGGGATACTTCACGGAAAAAAATGCAATTCTATATCCAAGAGTAGTAATATACTTATAATTTTATATTTGATCCAGTAATAATTTACTTAGTAAAACAATACTTTATTATACATTGAAATATTTGCTTAATGTTATTTTGAAACTCTTTAAATATTCATCTCAATTATTTTTCATTTAAATCAAGAATAAAAAATATATTTTATCAAATATAAGTTTGTTCTTAATGTAATGTTGAAATAATTTCTCGTTTGAAATACCTATAGTTTGAAGAGAGTATATTATTCTTAAATGAAATGCATGTTTGTTTCAAGCTGCCTTCTAGTCGCCTTTGTGCTTTGCTTCCCGTTGCGTTCTCTCCCATTCATTCCATTGAACATGAAGTTGAAGTTTGGTTGAAGGGACGCCGAAGGACGCCACGCGACGCTACCTGTGTTTTTACAGTGTTTTTCGTGATAAAATGAATTTTTTGTTGAAGAAATGGGATTTGGAATGTTTAATTCCAATATTTGAAGGTAAGTTTCACTTTTCCTGCTCAATTTCCGGGAAAAAACAATCAAAAAATTATTAGGCATTGTTGGCGTGGGTGGCCATCATTTCGGTAAAAACTTAAACCGCGTGTTATCTTTCATCATGTAGAAGTACCTTATCCAATCTATTTGCCTTTTGCTTTAGGATAAGTTGTTGACAAAATGTCTATAAAAACATTATTTTTAATTTTAGGAAATGAAATTGACTTGGACAATGGTTGAACATAAATGATGAACAAAGTAAAGAGCGAATTCCCAAAATAGAGGTTAGATTAAAATTGGCCAAGAAAATGAATCGGTACAAAAATGGCGTTAAAAGTGAAGAAAATGCAGCATCTATAACGGATTTTTCAAGGATTTTTCCAACCTTCCAGTGGTATGTGAATAATTAATAAATAAATGTACCTATCTATGATTGTTATTGTACTTATCACAATTAACTTTTTTGTTATTATTTCATCAGATTATACCTTTATATATTATATAAATTTTTAAAACAAGAATTTGAAGAATAAAATATACTTCAGAGTAAACTGTGTTTCAATATTAATGGTAAGTACACGAGTAGTTAAAACAATAAGAGGTTATTTTTGAAGTAAGAATAAGAAATATTTGGAAATAAATTGTAGTTTTTGGGATTACTATAAGTAATTTTTCAAATAAGAATAACAATACTTGATCAAAAAAACTACCTTATTCTTGAAACAATTACTAGGCTATTCTCGAATTCCACACTACCGTATTCTGGATATAAGTTGAACTTATTTTCAATTCTTAAGAATAGGGCAATACTAGAATTAAATATTATATTTTCTTGTGGAATAGTGAAACGAATATATTCTTGGGCAAACGCTACTATTCTTAAATATAGTGGAGTGTTTTTTCCGTGTTGGAAGGTTTGGGTGTTTATGATGGATAATGTTTATTTTATTTAAAATAATTACAAACAGTATTTTTTGCTCACATAAAGTCTGCAGGGTTTGCAATTTAATACTAACAATTCACATCCTTCTTGCTGGAAAAGGTCTAGTAGTCTAGGAAAATAGTCGAAAAATACATGTATTGTAAAAAAAAAATTCCTACCCAAATGAACTTTTCAGGGATAATAGGGGGCGGGTGGGTGATCATAAAACCGAAAATATCAAACATTCACCCCGCTGGCGTTTTGCGCTATAGGGGTTGAAAGTGCGCCATTAGCGATTACTTGGTACCTATTGATTTTACAAAAAAAATGTTCCAAATAAAAGATGTGCAACATTATTTGATCTACAATGTTTATCTAAAGATTTTTTTGATGAAGGGCTGTCTGTGGTCATAAGGGCCATTTGAAATTTTATAATGGAAATGAAAAATTTTAACCAACGTGAAAAATTTTTCTACAGCACATACAACATTTTTGCTTTATGAACTTTTTACTCACCCCCTGCCGTTTTTCAATAGGGGTAGTTTAAAGTTTTTTTATTTTTTTACAAAATAATTTTCTTAATAAAAGTTGTATAAGATGACATTTCCTACAATTTTTCCTTATCAACTTTTATTGTAACTCACCCCCATTCAGCGGGGGGACACTTCCCTTAGGGAAATTTTAGTTTTTAGGGGTATATAATAATTTTTTTTTTTCTTTTCTCGCCTTTAGTGCATATAAAAAGGTGCAATTAACATTGTATTAAAAGGATTCTTTTTCCACCACCTTTTTGTTTTTAGGGGTAGTTCGCCTATTTTCAACTTTACAAAAAAAAGTTATAGAGAAAAGTTGCTCAAAATAATAAAATGAACAAGTTTTCTTGATAATTTTTTTCGTGAAGTTGAAAATAGGCGAACTACCCCTAAAAACAAAAAGGTGGTGGAAAAAAAATCCTTTTAATACAATGTTAATTGCAACGTTTTATATGCACTAAAGGCGAGAAAAGAAAAAAATAAAATAATATATACCCCTAAAAACTGAAATTTCCTCGAGGGAAGTGTCCCCCCGCTGAATGGGGGTGAGTTACAAAAAAAGTTGATGGGGAAAAATTGTAGGAAATGTCATCTTATAAAACTTTTATTAAGAAAATTTTTTTGTGAAAAAATAAAAAAACTTTAAACTACCCCTATTGAAAAACGGCAGGGGGTGAGTAAAAACTTCATAAAGCAAAAATGTTGTATGAGTTGTAGAAAATTTTTTCACGTTGGTTAAAATTTTTCATTTCCATTATGAAATTTCAAACGGCCCTTATGACCACAGACGGCCCTTAATCAAAAAAGTCTTTAGATAAACATTGTAGATCAAATAATGTTGCACATCTTTTATTTGAATTTTTTTTTTGTTAAATCAATAGGTACCAAGTAATCGCCAATGGCGCAATTTCAACCCCTATAGCGCAAAACGCCAGAGGGGTGAATGTTTGATATTTTCGGTTTTATGATCACCCACCCTCCCCCTATCATCCCTGAAAAGTTCTTTTGGGTAGGATTTTTTTGTTTGAAAATCGACAATTTTCCTAGACTATAGACAATATAATAAATTTACACCTTTCTTTGATGCCGAACCGAACCATTATTTAGGATAGAGGATATCTGATATAAAATAAATGTCTTTATTAAAATAATATAAATTATCAATTTCATTACAACAATAGTATGGTATATAGTATGTATGGGGAAAACACTACATTATGGAATATGACAATGTGTCGTAACAATTCACTTTCATACCTTGGATATTGATTATACATTTAGATAATTTATTTCTTTTTTCAAAATAATACTTTGTCGTGTTAATTTATGTGGCCTACAAATCTCGATCGAGTATGTCTTTTCATTGTCCCTAAAAATCCCTCAATGCATTTTTCACCCCATGCTGTCCGAAACGTGACATGTCTCAAGAGCTGCTATACACCGCAGAAAAAGTTGGACTTCACATAAACATCGGACTTCACATAACCATCAAAGATGATAACTAATATGTTATCCATATTATGTGTTTGGAAATAGTGGTACCAGAGACATGAAATCCTGATAAATACAGATAATCAAACATGTGAATCAACTAGAAGAACTACCTTAGCATGAGATTGGAAGCATTTGGAAAATTGAAAGATGCTTTCAGGGCGGAAACTCCCTTGAGCGCAAAGAGAAGAGCATTCAATCAATATACCTATCTTACCGCAGAGACCTAGACGGCAGATGGACAAGAAAACTGCTGGAATAAAGACCACAAGCCGATAAGCGAAGTAGAAGCCGACCGCCTACCTGGAAACGACTTGAGGAGATTTATGTTCACCAGTAGATCCAGAAGGCTGTGTAATCATGATGATGATGATTAATGGAATAACAACGCTCAAACAGCGTTGCCAGAAGATAATGTTGACAAAGATCAAGTTAACAATGAAGACTTGAAGCAAGATATTATCGTACTATCTATACAGAACTCGAAAATGATCACTTCACTAGAATCTCAACAGCCACATCAAGTGTTTTAAGGATAAAATATCCATTCTATTTCAAGCTTGTTTCATACAGGCTCATCCGGAGAGCGAAGACTGGTGAAGAAATAATATGATTGGTGAGGATTCAGCGTGATGGTGAAACATGAGTTGGCCAGAGAAATATAAATTGAAGGAAAATATCTCGATTGCTTGCTATTGCCATTGCAGTGGAGAACTGAATTCACAGTCAGAGATTTTGCACACAAGCAGCAACTACACATCAAAAGTTCTCTTGGAGATTCTGCTAAGAGCATAATGAATTGCAAACTAAAACATATGATCTGCTCATGTCTTCTCTGGCGTATACCAACTCTGATCTATTCGAAACTCGTTTTAGACTAAAAAAAACTTTGGCCTTCCATTACCTTTCTGTTTAGTCTCGCAATGATTCGGTAGTTCGTCAAAACGTTGCGACAATAGACCAAATCATAATGGAAGTTCAAGGCTTTTAATTCATTGAAACATTACCTAGCACCTTCAAACATACATCGTTTTACAATGTTACGTGACTACGAGCCAGACCAAAGTAAAACATTATCGAAACTGTTCTGACTCACATCAGGTCTTCAATCATACCCTACCCACTCCATCTTGCAACCACTATGAGGATCCAGCTGAAAATATCCAAACTGAAATTTATTATAGGAAAGTCGACCGCCGCTTGTTACTGTCTTTCTGTCATACCTGTGAATGTATATATGATAGGTACAATTTCTTCATCTATGGCCACTTCAGCCTGCCTCAGATGAAATGGATTGCTTACGTTGACTCATTAGTTACCGTTTAGTGCGCAAGCAGCGGCTGTTCTTGTGAATTCGATGACATGATCGACTTCCTCAAATGTTTTATCTCACCCCTGAAAAATCAAAGTGGAGCTTCCTTGTTGTACATTTACTATTGTAGAAGCAAGGCAACTCCAATCGAAATTATTGCTCTTTAATACTATTAGAAATTTCAATAACATAAAAATCTAAGCAAAAGTTTTTAGACTCTACCCTATTGACATAAGATATTGCCTAAGCCATACAAAAATAAAAAAGTTTATGAAAACTTTATGTTTTAGAGGCCCTGCTCTACGAAATGCTCCCGAAACCCGTCGCCGATCAGCTCAAGCGCGGGAACAAAGTGGAAGCAGAAGGTTTCGACTCGGTTACAATCTACTTCAGCGATATTGTCGGATTTACTGCCATGTCAGCCGAGAGCACCCCTTTGCAGGTAAATTACGGTAACTTAACGCAACGTGTCCCTATACTCTGTTCTTATGACAACGATTTAAAAATATTGGCAATAAGACCTTTCCCTGAAGTAGCATCCAGGGATGGCTGAAAATAACGGGGAGATTGCACTCTTGTCGCATTCCAAGATGAAACCCCAGCAATCTGCTATAATAATAAAGTGAAGTATAAAAGGGATAGTAGGGATAATGAAACTATTTTAAGGGAATTTAGCTATTTATGGCAAAAATTCATTTCTTGATATCCCCATAGATATATAGGTACGTACTTTCTACACGAGATGCGAAAGTTAATATGGATATTAGGCGACACCCGTTTAAAGTTTAGCGGCACCCATAATCGAATAAATACAAATTGATTTTTTTTAATTTAATAGGTCTCCCGGCCTTTGTTTAGATAAAATCCTCTGGTGTCACACCCGTTGATAAGACAGCTTGTCAAAACATTGGAAAAAGTTTGTTCTCAGTTATTAAATGAATAATCTGGGTGGTATGATGAAGGTCAGAAAACCCTTGTACGGTGTTAGGATATCAGAATCAAGAATTTAAATGTTTGAGGTAAAACTCACCCCCGTCCGGAGGGTTACCTAAGTCATAGCTCATTTCAAAGGTACTCTGACCAATCATATACACTTTCGTTAAGATTTTTGACACTCTGTCATATGAATGGCAGTGATGAAATCTGGGTGGTATGATGTCGATCAGAAAACACCTGTAGGGTTTTAGGATATCAGAGTCAAGAATTTAAATTTTTGAGGCAAAACTCACCCCCGTCCTGAGGGTTACCTAAGTCATAGCTCATTTCAAAGGTACTCTGTCCAATCATACACACTTTCCTTAAGATTTTTGACAATCTATCATATGAATGGCAGTGACAGCAGAAACTTCAAGCTTGTCAGTTCTAAATAATAGGGGCCGAAATACCTTTAAAATTATGTATCACTCGACCCCCCTACTTAAAATTTGATTTGATTTTTGCATAGAAATTCATATCAATTTCCAAATTGACACCCTGTAATCTTCCAAAGACATATGATGTATATGGAATGTATCGACTACCACAGAATAAAATTAACTTTTTACCAGAATTTGATAAATATTAGAGAAGCATAGAAAACATGTATAATTATTGGCGATATAAATTTGGACTCTTAAGCAAAAAATGATTAATTACACCAATACCGGGTGGGGCACGAAAAACTTTCCACCCAGGTTTTCTCAGGTGTTAGGTGTTTAATCAAAAATCGCTCAGACACGTCAATTTTTGTTTTTTGGGGGACACATTTTATTGGTATTTTCACCCCCTACCTGTGAACCCCTAAGTGGGGGTGACAGGTACCCACAAAGTTTCAAATGAAAAGGGGGGTCGAGTGATACATCATTTGATAGCTATTTTCATTAGGATTATATCCCCGAAGTTTCAAGTTGCTACTATTTACCCTGTCGAAATGGCGACTTGTCAAAGTTAGGAGAAATCAATGGAAAAATGCTGTGTGGTTTTTACCTGTTACCTACGCATAGGTGTGACAGGTAAAAACTATACAGCTTAGATTATCGAAAAAAAGCATTTATCCTAACTTTGACATGCCTCTATTTCGGCAGGGTTAATAGTAGCAACTTAAAACTACGGGAATATAATCTCAATGAAAATAGCTACCAAATGACATATCACTCTCTTTCCATTTGAAATTTTGGAAGTACCTGTTACCCCCACTTAGGGGTTCACAGGTAGGGGGTGAAAATACCAATAAATGTGTCACCCAAAAAACAAAAATTGACGTGTCTGAGCGATTTTTGATTAAAGACCTAACACCTGAGAAAACCTTGGTGGAAAGTTTTTCGTGCCCCACCCGGTCTAATAGAAATAAATACATATCAAATAGAAAAAGAAAATCTAGCAGAATCAAGACAAAACAGCTCCAATACAATATACCAAAACAAAGAATTATGCATAATAAATATAAAAAATTGTAGTACATCAGATCATAAAATTTTTCATGTACAAAAGAAAATATAAAGAAAAAAGAAAAAAAAACTATGTATATTGATACTAAATCAGGTATTACTAACTACTTAAAAAGACGAAATAAAGAAAGATCAAATCGTTCATAACATTAACTAAACTAAAAACAAGAAGAAAAAATAATCTACAAAAGGTTATGAAATTAAAACAGAATATGTAAAGCTTCGAAGGAAAACTGATAACCTGAGGCCAAAATTACAAAAGTAATATAGAGAAAAAAACATTTAGATGCTGAAGGTAACAGTGGGAAAACATGGCTCCTAAATTGAATAACATTTGTGGAATAAACAAGCATGAACCGATAATGCATAACATCATAAACCAAAGTGGACAGACCCTGGAACACGATAAAGATCAGGCATAAAGCTTAAATACAAAAAAAATCTAAACAACGTTTTTCCATAAGTGTGTTAAAACATTCAACCATCAGCCATGAAGAGAGAGTGTCCAAATTATCCCACGCCCAAAAAGACTAATCCTAAGAAAATTTACAAGGAGACTAAATTCAAAAGAAAAAAACATGAGGTGAAAATGTTTACCTTTTCTCGAGAATAATCATTATTATGCTCCTGGGTGTGGATTGATGTAAGACATCTAAGTGTAAGACTGTAGTAAATAAATATAACTTTACGTACTTCTGTTTCTCGATTTTCAAAGCGAGGTCAGCAATAATTGAATGTTCAAACTGCAAAACAAAAATCAATAAAAATTAATTATTAAAAGTTTGTTTTGCCAATTAAATGTTGTTTACTGAAATCGCATGAGATTTATTTTATTGAATTGGATTGTTATACTTTCAGGTGGTTAATTTTTTAAACGACCTATACACGTGCTTCGATTCGATCATAGAAAATTATGACGTTTATAAAGTTGAAACTATAGGAGATGCTTACATGGTTGTAAGCGGCTTACCAATCAAAAACAACGACAATCTTCACGCCGCCGAAATAGCCTCCATGTCCTTACATTTGTTATCCGAAGTGAAACATTTTTCAATAAAACATAGGCCCGGACAGAGGCTTTTGTTGCGGATAGGGATTCATTCCGGTGAGTTAAAATGGCATTTCGAATTGTTTTTATTGAATTTTTGGTGTATTTTTAGGCCCAGTATGTGCAGGGGTCGTCGGTCTGAAAATGCCTAGGTACTGTCTTTTCGGTGACACCGTGAACACAGCGAGTAGAATGGAATCTACCGGACAACGTGAGTATAACAGCAGTTTCTTAAATTATGTTTCAAATTTTGAAAAAATGAAAAGTTTTGAATTTTTGACACAAGTTAATTGTCTAACTTTCTTCATTGACTACAAATGCAAAATCGAATTCGTGGGTACCTACATAACTACTTAAACTTGTGCCAAAATTTGCAACTTTCGCATTTTTTTGCTCAGTATCACTATGATGAATTCATTTTTTTTAGCACTGAAAATCCACTGTAGTAAAACTTGCGGAGATCTTTTAATGAAAATCGGTGGCTATCAGTTGATAGAAAGAGGTTTGGTTTCAATGAAAGGAAAAGGCAACCAGCAAACTTATTGGCTTCTCGGAGAAGACCCTCATTTTAGAAAAATACGCAAGGAGTTAAGGGAAAGAAGGAGAGAAGAATTGAGGGGCCGAAATATTAGGACTTCTCAGCCAGATGGAAATGGTAATGTTCTTTTTTTTTCAAAAAAAAAAAAATTAAGAGCAGACATTTATAATAATATTTTCCGAATTGCCTTTCTACGTGATATAATCGGTTTATTTTCACAGGTCATTACACGGTGACAAGAAGTTCCCTAAAGAATAAAAACAGCATTGTAAAGAGTCCCATACCGAGGTGCTCGTCGTTCGAGAGTCCGAAACGGCTCCGGTTCGCGAACGGAGATAACTTAGAGCACCGAAACGAGAACAAATATTTGGAAGCGATTTCGGACAACAGTCCGTGTCGAAAAAATTTCGAGTATCTCGCCTCGGATTCATTGTTTATGACGGTAAGTTATCTCACTTTTTATTATGTTCTGCTTCTTCGGTAAATATTACATAGAGATTTATGGGTGCTTGTTTAAGATGACTTTAAGTAAAAGTTTTCATGGATACTTTAACAAACACGACAATATTGTTGTGAACCAGTAAATTTATCATTTTTTTAATAACAATTTTGTTCATTATGTTCCTTCACTACATTTCCTCTCTTTAACAAGTTCCACCATCTATTTGGTTTAGTCCCTCATCAATTAGGAACTTTATACCTTATTGCTTATTTAGGTTTTGGAGATATGCAGGTTGGAATTATTATTACAACCAATGTCCTGTTAACACCAATATCCAAACAAGATGTTTCCGTTTGTCGGTACTCGGTACCTCTATTGCAAGAACCCAAATTACTGTAAATACAAGTAAATAATTATAACCCATGGAGGATGTTCTTGCCGCCAAAGATACAGTACCTTTCCCAGACCTAATTTTATTATTTCAGATGGTGAGAATTGCCCTGAGAATTATAAACTAAGTTGTCGTTTAGGTTACTTTTTAGTTTTTAGAATAATTGCAGTTGGCAGTCGCTTTGTAAGATCGATAGCGAACAGTCGGGTTGTAGCAGTCGCACTTATGTGAAATCAGTTTCGTTCAGAGTTAGAATAAACTAAACCTTCAAGTAATTTCGAGTTTTACTTCTTACTTTATTGAATCAATCAATGTAAGTAGGTACCTATCTAAATCTTTCTAAATTTGTATAAATTACCATAAACTTAACAATATCAAAAATTCCTGACGATGAAGTGAAAACCCTTTGAAAGCTTGACGAAACTGATAAAATAACGTAATATAGAGTGTTTTGGCCAAGATCCTTGTGACTTCCTTCTCATAAATATAAGGTACTGGAGACAAATATGGGCCCACTTAGCTTTAAATGTGAAATGCATTTAAAACATTTCGACGTTGACATTTATGTGAACGGCTCTCACATGAAAATGTTAGTCATTTATTAGTTGATATTTGCATAGAATTCTACTAGTTCAAAATTATTCTTATTGGACGAAGAGAAAACTACACCTCTTCCAATTGTAATTCGGAAAGCGGAAAATGTATCAGAAAGGGGAAATTTAATTCCAGAAAATGTAAATTGTAATTCAGATATGCAATTTTGAAAATCAGAAATAGGAAAATGTAATTCAGTATTGGTAACATGTAATTCAGAATCATGAAATATCTATGAGTGTTTTTTTTTTTTCAATTTTTAATCCTTTGTCGCTAAACACGGGACTGCTATCTGCGTTTTTGAATTATCGTCTGTAGAGTTTTACATAAAACTGTCCTTTGCGAATCCAAATAACAAAATCGTATTCCTATAAATTCAGTTTCTATTCAGTTACCTATACGTAAGCACATAATAACATACTTCTAAAAAAACTACCAAAAAGTAAGATGATAACTTAATTTCCTTAAATGCAATTCAAAATTCCAGTTACTGATCAAATGGCATATCCTTTAATGCTAGCGCCACGGCATGGAAGGTGGTTGAGTGTTAAGTGGTTCTCTCACTCTCTGTAGGTACCTGTGCTCTGCTCTGTATAGGTGGGTTCTAACAGACATTTAATTTAATTTAGCATTTAATATAATTTAATTTAAAAAGTTTACTATACAATACCATATGACGGCGTTCATACAAAATTTTAATCTAAGACATAATATAACTTAATTTAAAAGTTGGCCAACTTTTATCTTTCAAAATTAAATTAAATTAAATTTGGAGTTGATCATTGATTTTCATCAGTTTGACAAGGCAGATGACGGATAATGACATTTTTCTATATTAGTTAAAAAATTACTGTATGAACGCCACAAAGTAAAATTACATTAAATCTTAAATTATGTTAATATAAAATTAAATTAAATTTCTGTTAGAACCCAGCTTAACTCTGTACATAGCTTATCGTAAGGTGCATATTATACTTTTCTGAATTACAAATTCCATTATCTGAAATTAAATTTCCACCGAGATTTTCACCTTCTGAAATACAATTTCCCTTTTCTAAATTATAATTTACAGTTTCTGAATTTCAATTTACTATTCTGAATTACAATCTTGCTTTTCTCAATTTCAACTTCCTAATCTGAATTTCATTTTCCCTATTCTGAAATTAAAGTTACCGTTCTCAAATTCAATTTCTCTTTTCTGAATTATAAGTTCCTATTCTGAAATACATGTTCCCTTCTCTGAAATTAAACTTTTATTTTCTGAATTACAATTGAAAAAGTTGTAGTCAGTTTCACAAATGAGCCACATCCTCCCGCTCTGGTTACATGGTTCATACCTAAAATTCCATAGAAATACAAAAAAATTTAATGAACTTAAAGCTGGTCAAGCAAATATATGTATTTTTGATAGATACGGGGAAACTATAATTGAATACCAGCTAACAACACGCAAAGTCATCGAAGTCATCAGGCACAGGACCAACACATATAGGTATTATATGATCCGCACCATATTATACCCCTCTATGTTCTGGCATCTGAAGGTACAACCAAAACAATATTGAAATTAAAAAAAAGGAGCGAGTAGTCACATCAACAAAACATTTTATGGTTATATAGCTCATAAACCAGTACCCTCCTGGGAATATTTTCAGTTTTTAGTTTAGTTAGAGAAACACAACTTCAAATTTCGTCAAAAAGTTATAATTGCGTGGCATCACACTGGCCGGTAACGTAGAACTGCAGATAATTCGCTACCATGTAATGCTCGGTGGATGGGAAAAAAGGAAAATACCCCTTGGCAATACGAGCAACTATTCGACATTGTCAGATTGGTCACAAATGCTTTGATTTTTAAAATTGAGACCTGGGGCCATATTACCCACTTTGCCTCCAGTACCTTATAGGCATATTTATTGTGTGTGTAACTGCAAAAAGGTCATAAGAAGACTCAATTAAATAATGTTACGAAATTGCCTCGAGAGCCCGGCAGAATTCTGAGAAATGCAATTGTCTGCGCGTCGCGTAAACAATTCGGAGAATTCTATTCAAGTAGGGTGCCAGGTTTTTCTAGATAAATCCCGAGTACCTACACTGTCTTCTAGAAACAGTCGTGTACGTTACGATAACTGATAAGTGAATTTTATAAAGTCAATTAGTTTATTGGAAGTTGTTACTGTTTGAGAAGTGAGCTCTAGTAAACCCAGAATCCGTGACAACTTGGTGTCGGAAGTGAGATTATTAGTAAGACAATTGGTGCAATAATTTGGGCTAATTCGTTCGATCAGCAAGATAATTAATGACGCATTAATTTGAGCTGGATAGTGGAGTGATTGGCAAGATAACTACTGGACTAGTTTGAGCTAACTAGTGCGATTATTAGCAAGAAAATTGGTGTATTAATTAAGGCATTAGCATAGTTTCCGCACTTATTATAGTGCGGAAACAATCAGTGCACTTTTTTTGAAATGAAATAGAAACTTTATTACCGGACTTGACATCGAAAAACAAGCTCACAAGCGCATTTTTTGGAAAATTCTACAAACTTCCATAAAATTATATTTGGAAACCGTGAGTGATAGAATAGTGACTTCATTTCTAATTTCGACATCGAAAAACAAGTCCATAAAGTAATTTTCTAGAAATTCCGTCGTGTTCTAGTTAGAAATTTGACTTCGCCACAGATCTCTAGATTCAAAACCAGGTTTCAAGGACGACACAGAATACTCTATGGTCAATACACAACAGCGAACAGCCAAATTGGAGCAAGTTAATAAAGGTCATGAAGAACTTGGATGACAAAACACTAGAAGAAGAAGACCAAAGACAGAAAAAAAAACAAGAAGAGGATGACCGAAGACACAAGGAGAAACGAGAAGAAGAAGATCGAAGACTGAAAGAACAGGACCGGCTTGCAGCACTTTTACAACAACAAGAAGACCAAAGACAGAAAGAAAAATAAAAAGAAGAAGATCGAAGAGAGAAAGAACAGGACCGGCTTGTAGCACTTTCACAACAACAAGAAGACCAAAGACAGAAAGAAAAACAAGAAGAAAAATAAGAAGAAAAAGACCGAAGACTGAAAAAGAAACAAAAAGAAGAGGACCAGCTTGCAGCACTTCTAAAACAACAAGAGAACCGAAGACATAAAGAAAGACAAGAAGAACAGAACCGGCTTCAGGAAAATTTTAAATTGCAGCCAGAATGAATCCAAACCGTTACCTCTGAGGAACAAACCAAACTCGAGAAAATTCTGGAAGTAGAATGCAATGGGAGAAGTACGTGAAAAAGTTGGAAGTGTTCGACACGAAGTTCGCGAAGAAATTGGGAACGTCAGGAATTTCGCCAAGAAATGGATAGTTTTAAGAAGATTGAAAAATTGGAATGTGAGTTGAGGTCAGGAAATGTCTCAGCCTCGCCTGCACCTGGTATTAAAGTTTGGCCACCACTATAACGGACAGACATCGTGGGCCATATACAGACGTTAATTCGAGACTGTTGCAATGGCTAATGGCTGGAGGAATTTCTGGAAGCATTACGGAAGCCTGTTATTAGAATCAAAAGTCAAAAGGGAGTATTAAATGTTACGGTTGAGATCTCGTTTTCCTTTTAATGACTCTCAGCAAAGATAATCCTACTCCGAGTAGGATTATCTTTGCTCTCAGCCTTCAATGGGTAATTTGAAAAAAAGCGCCAAATATAAAGGCCCATTTATAAACTTGACGTTACGATTCCGTTACCGTTTGCGCCTACAGACGGGCTCGCCGTTAGCCCCGCCGTTCCAGCCACAAAAATTGGACAATTTATAAACTTGCCGTTTGACGTTCTCAAAAAGTAAATAATAAACATAACCTCTTTTGTGCGTGTGCCCTCATTTTGTCATTTTATGAGTGATTTGGACGATTTGGTGGTGATTTACCATTGTTTAATTATTGATGATAAAATAACATGAACCCAAACAAAATTTAAAATTCGAAAAATCAAAATAATCTCTCCCCTCTTCCACCACAGCTCG